ATCCCCAAATCCTCAAATCCCCAAATCCCCAAATCCCCAAATCCCCATACCCCCAAATTCGCAAATCGTCGACTACAAAAATTCGTAAATCCCACAATTTCTCCTCAATCGCCAAAGTTCCAAATCCCTAAACCCTAAATCCTGAAGCTGTCGAAATTGCCAAGCCGTTCCTGCATCCGCTGTTCAATTAACGTTCCCACAGTCTCCGACGTCGACATAGATCTCCGAAACCTGGCGAGCTTTCCCAGCATCGCGATCTCTCGGACGCGCAAACAAAGTATCCCCGAATGGATCATTGTTTCGAAGACGAAGTGGTAAGCGCGCAGTGTCGTTGGAAAGGCGAAGAAGGAACTGGAAAGTACATTTGTCGTGAAGTATTGCCGCAAGCTCCAGCCTGTTCCTCTGCAGGGGGGCCCTGACATGCGGGTACCAATGAACATTGGTGCGTGTACACGTGCGTGCACGTTCGCGTGTAGAAGTCGTGAGCGTGAGTACGCGCACCGTCACGGAAACAGAGACAACGAACCACCGGAGATTTATGAGAAACGCGAAGTATAACTATCGGTTAACGGCATTGGGACACGAGAGGACAGACCTCGATCCGTTGGCGACGATTTCACGATTGCACGTGAGCTACGAACACGACACATCTTCAAATGCCATTATTGGAATCGCTCATCCAAAAATGGATAACGCATTTGGATCGGTTTCTGTCCACGTAACGTATCGAATTCAATTTGTATTCCGAGTGTCTGGAAAGATGACATGTGGAACAATAGGATTTATACTCTTCCGGCTACCGAGTTATCGGACGGTTTAACACCTTGTCAAGTTACGTATATGGGTGACGTTTAAATTTTCATGAGAATTTGTTAGAGGTACTACTGAGAATTTGTTCACTTGTGGAAACATTTTAAATAATTGATAGTATCGTGTGTGGTAACTGGTTGGAATTATGAATAGTAAATGTATTAAGACGTTCTGAAAATATGTGGTAAGATTTGTCAATGAGGGCACTATTGTATTGTTAAGAATTTTATTAGGAATTTGTTTATTTGTCTAATTGGAAATACTAGTACATATTAGCTAGTTGAAATTGCGAATGATAAATGTGGCATAATATTGGAAAGGTGTTTGATAAAATTTGATCAAGTTCTCAATTGCCTCATCATACATGTAGAACAATTTACTTTGTGGAGTACTGATATTCAGGCGTTCAGTGTTTTACAAATTTAATTGTAATAAACAGTTGGACATGAATTTACTCACGTACAATGCTACCAGCTACTATTACAATCTGTCATTCCCAAAATACAAATAAAATTTACAATAATTTACCGTATTAAAGCGAATGAGTCACCTTTCGCGTGCAAGGGTTTAAGCTAACAAAACATCACGTTCCGAAATAGAACAGCAGTAAATTTCGCAATTACCCCAGATCTCGAATTACAATATCTAATAAACGAGCAGAAATCCGTTTTGCAAGGTTGGTCGAGAATTTGTACATTCGAGGCACCATCGTAGATAATGGGTTTACGTCAGCGAGCAGTCAGGCGTTCAGAAACTCTAATAAAGTCATTGACACCGAGGCAATAGTCAAGAGGAGAATTGTTAGATGGGAGGGGTCGTTATGTCATCGTCTGTCATCGTGGCACGAAAAAGAGGAGACAAGCTGGAAATTGTTGGTCTCGGCTCGCATCTATCTGGCCACACGGTCGAAAGAAATCGTGACGACGGCCATACGAAACGAGGTTTGTTAGCGTACAACCGGGTGTCACGAGATATTACTATGTTTTCCAACGTCGGCCCGGCCTTTCGGACCAGATCTACTCCCGTTCTCGACAATGCTGAAGACACTCAAGAGAGAAGCACAGCAAATTAAACGAGATTTACAGCGGGTGCACGATCTCGTCCTATTAACCCTGGACGTGCTTATGTACAACCGATGAAATACGATGACGTGCAGTGCCGGATTGAGACCTTCAGGGACCTTAGACTCCAAAATTTCGTACTCCATTTACAGAAATTTAGAAATATTTAAACTCGTTAATTTTAACTTCACTTTAAAAACTCGTTCAGATAACACTACAGACACAAATGTTAAAAGACAAATATTTAAAATATTTTTAAATAATTCAATACTTACTTTGATCCTACATTTTCATATTACATTTGATAACCTAAAACTATGGCAACATTAAGAACCATGATTCCTTACAAAAATATCAAGACCATTCCTCTCAAAGAAACACTATCAAAAATGTATCTAAATCCCCAAAATCAATTTTACACATAAATTCATAAAAGTTGCAAAATATTTTGATATAACATCCAATCTCACAGAAGTATCTTTAGAACAGAGATACTCGAAGATATATCAAGAGATATCAAGATACGAATGTCTGCACGTATCATAACGTTGACATAAATACTAAATAAAACGATCGTTAACGAGTTACCAGAACAGTACCAGTAAACTGTTCACGTGTGTATCTAAAAAAAAAATGTCGAGCACGAAGATCTGTGCAGGTCGGTCGTATATCTATCGAAAGCGTCTCTAAAATCGCTCCAGTCTGTTGGTAGAGCGATAAGATCGGTAGCAGTACTTACAGGGACGATTCCTTTATCCTCTGCAACGCTAGAAGGGCCGCTGAGGAGGAAACGAAGACGGGATCGAGAGGTTCCATCATGCGGGCCGACGTGTCCCTCTCTCTGTCTCTTTCCCTTTCCCTTTCCCTTTCCCTGTCCCTGTCCCTGTCCCACTGTCTGTCCCTATCGCGATCTCGTTCCTTTTCTCGATCCCATGGCTCCCTCTCCCTGATTCCTGACTCCTCGTTCTCCGTGCTCCTCTCTCGCACCCTTTCTCGCTCTCGTTCTCGTTCCCGGTTTCTCTCCCACGCTGTTTCTCCGAGCGGTGGCAAAGGCGGCGATACTAGAAAAATGCAGAAAAAAACGAACTAGTCAGATGAATATTAATTAGCCGGTTAACGGCGGGAATATTATCGGGCATCACAGGTGATTGTTGTATCGTAATACGTTTCGTAATTTCATCGAGCATCGTGGACTCAAGTCGTCGACTTCGAAATGCTGGGGGTTGGTGGTCGGAATAGGGGTTTGGAGATTTGGAAATTTGGGGATTTGGGGCAGTGGAAACTTGGGAATTTGGAGATTTGTGGATTTGTGGATTTGGGAATTTGAGGATTTGGGGATTTGGAGATTGGGGAATTAGGTGATATAGGAATTTGGGGATTAGGGAGTTAGGGGATATCGGAATTTAGGAATTTGGGGATTTGGGAATTTGGAAATTTGGGGATTTGGAAATTTGGAAATTTGGGGATTTGGAGATTGGAGAATTAGGTGGTATAGGAATTTGGGGATTGGGGAGTTAGGGGATATCGCAATTTGGAAATTGGGGGATTTGGGGATTTGGAAATTTGGGGATTTGGGGATTTGAGGATTTGGAAATTTGGGGATTTGTAGATCTGTAGATTTGGAGACTTGGAAATTTGGTGATTTGCGTATTTGGGTATACATATAGGGATTTAGAAATTTGGGAATTCGAGAATTTGGTGATATAAAGACTTAGGAATCTGAAAATCTGAAATTTAGAGAATTTTCAAATTCTCAAGTCCCAAATCTCCAAATTCCCAGAAATTAACAATAAGCTATTCGAAATTTCCAAACTCAATTCACAGAGAAGTGCATAATGATAATCTATACATCTCGCGTACTTCTTAAAGTTACTGTAGCGGAAACCATACCCAGCGTTACCTGTTAATTACTGGATTTCGTGGAATCATAGATTATCCGTCTAGTGACATATATGGTTTCGCGTAAAACGTTAGCAGCAAGTTGCCGGAAGATAAAAGCGTAGCCGTTCGAAGCGGTCAAACGCATCGAATGATCGAAAGGAATAACGAGCCAGCCACGTTATTAACGCTCGCTTTTTACGCCGCGGATTATTCGAACGTGCGATTTACACCGACGTGACTTGGCACCCGTGTAACATTGTCGTAAATCTCTCGTTATAAACGCGAGTAATCTACCAGCCGTAGTTTCTTGACTTTGGAGAAAATCCAACTGAAAGTTCAATCGTTTCACAAGCGATCGCACCTTGGGTCGTAAAAAAATATCGCGCTACTTAGAAGTACTTCCTAAAGTGGTAAACTTTCTTAATCCACAAATGGGCATAACCTTTCGTGAGTTTATAAGTTTAATATCATCTTTCACAGTTGTGGTCCTTAACTCATTTTAATCCATTCATTCGCGGACGGTGAAATTAAAATTTGCATTTATATCAGTTTGTGATTAAATAGGTAATGATATGAAAATCAGTGAAAAATTGATGAATTTTTTTGTGGAAAATGGTTGGAGTTGAAACGAATCGATATTGTTGATATTATATTAATTATGTGCTTCCTGTATCTGAACTTCAATACCATACTGAAATTTTAAAAAGTTTCAATTTTTAGTAGCAAAAGCACTGTTAATATCCATCCAGAAATTTTTTAATTACTCTACTATTGTATCAAGCAATATAAAAGAAATTATGTAATAGGGGGTGAAACTCGAATAAAGAAAATTGACAGCTATTTTAAAGTCAAGAGTCTCCAACAAAATAGAAAACATTCTATATGTTCAAACTAGTTATCGATAAGTAATCTCGATATCCAACAGAAGTAGAATTTACAACGCAGAGATAATTTTTCGATGACCTCCGACCTCGCAGCAGCTCGATCGCAGTACTGCACGTCGTTGCCCTCCCGCGACCTATGGCCGACAAGCATGTTAAATGTCCGTGACATTACTGTTACTAATTAATACGGGAAGGTGGTCAATTGATTCGCGATCGATCGATGTTATGGCCGCGCTCAGAATAAGAGGGAAACATGGAGGCACGTGGTTTAACTTTTGACCGTACTCGACACTGTCCGACGCGTCTTTCATTTGATTATCGAAGTCACCGCCTCGATCGTTTATTAATCGATGCAAAATCGTAATTTCCAAGACTTACTTCGTTACGTGGTAATGGCTCGTTTGACCATAAACGATCGTAATTAATGTCGTGTAATTTAGTACGCGAAATCGTGTACAACAGCAAATTGTTACGTTGTAGCTGCTCGTAATTTGTTTTGATTTGCGGGGGAAACTGTATGCGAATTCAATTATGGTTTTACATTTCATTACGGATTTTTGTGTGCGATGAAATTTTTTTTACTGATGGGTCTTGGCTCTTTGTGTGTTGGTTAGCAGGAGGTTTGGGATTAGTCACGAGTGGCTTTCGGAAGCTTGAGAATTTTTGAATTATGGAATTTTGGTATTTGGTAGTTTGATAGCTTGATAATTTGGATACGTTGGGATTTGAAATTTGAAGGTCTGGAAATTTGGGGATTTTGGGAGATTTGGGAATTTGGAAATTTGGGAATTTGGGAATTTGAGAATTTGGGAATTTGGGAATTTGGGAATTTGGGAATTTGGGAATTTGGGAATTTGGGAATTTGGGAATTTGGGAATTTGGGAATTTGGGAATTTGGGAATTTGGGAATTTGGGAATTTGGGAATTTGGGAATTTGGGAATTTGGGAATTTGGGAATTTGGGAATTTGGGAATTTGGGAATTTGGGAATTTGGGAATTTGGGAATTTGGGAATTTGAGAATGTGGGAATTTGGGAATTTGGGAATTTGGGAATTTGGGAATTTGGGAATTTGGGAATTTGGGAATTTGGGAATTTGGGAATTTGGGAATTTGGGAATTTGGGAATTTGGGAATTTGGGAATTTGGGAATTTGGGAATTTGGGAATTTGGGAATTTGGGAATTTGGGAATTTGGGAATTTGGGAATTTGGGAATTTGGGAATTTGGGAATTTGGGAATTTGGGAATTTGGGAATTTGGGAATTTGGGAATTTGGGAATTTGGGAATTTGGGAATTTGGGAATTTGGGAATTTGGGAATTTGGGAATTTGGGAATTTGAGAATTTGGGAATTTGGGAATTTGGGAAAATTTGGGAAAATTTGAGAAATTTGGGAATTTGAGAATTTGAGAATTTACAAATTCGTACCATTGAAAATTACTAATCTCCTCCTATACAATAATAATAAAAGAACCCCTGCATCCCTTTCCTTGTATCGCATAAGGTGAACCAATTTCAAGGTTCCACCCTCATCACTCCCTAACTACCCCAACGACAAGATTTCCCGTAATAAAGCCTACTACCTAATAAAGCATTAATACCTATTACAAGAACCATTATAACAGCTATTATAGCAACTCGTAAGACAATACAAGATAAGTCGTACCTCCCTCGCGAGTCTATTTTATCTCTTATAAAAATCATGTACCGTTTCTCTTTCTTCCCGCAACGAGCGAAGAACACGCGCATCGCGAAATAACGGGATTAAGAGGTAATCGATTTCGTAGGAGGACACGGTGTTGTTGGCGGAACAACGGCACGAGGATATTGCGTAACACGGCACACGCACGCGAGTACTTTAGTCGTTCGTCGTGAATCAACGAGCCGGAGATTTATGCAAACGGCTGTTGTGGTTCGCTGGCCGCACGCCACAACGGAACGCGTTCGGCCAAAGATGCATGACTGGAAAACGAACGAACGAAACCGCGTTACCCTGCTTCACTTTCGTAGGTTTGATGAATCGTGTTTTGGATTGATTTTTAATTGAATTACCGTCTCGTATTTCTGCTCGACCTTTCGGGACGTCGTAAATATACGGGTGACGCTGCACACGCGCCTTTCGATAACAAAAAAATCAATCCTTATCACTAGACAAATACTACTATGCTAAATTAATGACTAAAAAATAAAAAGTCATTTAATTTCTTATCACTTGAGTTTAATTATTTAATAATGTAATTTATTATTGTACATCAATATCGATGCATGATAAAATCATGTACGATTGGTTTTTAATAATGATATAATTATGCAGAAGTCATCACTGATTTTGAAGCATGTTGTCGAGATTATAATTCTGAACAAATTTTCCCTGTGCATGCAATAGTTGGATTTGTTTAGTTTTTTAAATATTTGCACAAATGAACCTTGAAATTCGTCATACCAAGTGTGGACATAATGTGATAATATTTTAAAGTGAAATATGGTTTATACTCATACAGAAAGTGTGGAGTAATTTGTACAAATTAAATGAACAAAACCTTTGACCTCACTTTTATGTCTTATGACTTTCTATAATAAAATCCTGAAGAGTCGCCAAAGTAGGTCAAAATTTTATAAAAGTAAGAAAGTAGGATAGTATAATTCATACAAACAATTCAATCAGATAACAGACACGATAAATCATATTTTAATTGTTATAGTAGATCAAACAAGTTCAAAAAATCGGATAATAGTATTGCGATTAATAATTAAAATCGAAAAGTGTTTCAAGTGTACACAAGGAGTTTGGGATAATAAAAATTGTAGAGTATTATCCTTGTTCTCCTTTCACATGGAATTCGATGAAAATTTCGAAGTTAAAGCGCACGTTACAGATAGTCATCGCAAAGGACCGTGTTTTCTCTTATCGGCATGGAAATCTTGCGACCGTGCCGTTTGATCGTCCACTCGTATCGAGGAATCATTATGAATACAGTCAGGCTACGTTCTAACCGCCCGCGGTATTATTAACCGTAATTTCCGTGCGTTCGCCGTACAGGGCGGCTTCGCTTAATTAGCCTTAGCTTCGGACACTTTTTCTCCTCTCGTTCTGTACGTCTCGTTAGGGCCATTAACTCTTCCCATGGCTATGGAAGACTATGATCTTCCCTATCTAATGGACCACGGAGTCGTCAGAACTTGGAACACTCTGACAGCTCTCGTCCAACTATTTGACCCCGAGTTCGATCTCATCGTCTTTCTCACAATACCGATTCTGAGACACTGATTCTGTTTACAGGCTGCTTTCAAAATGGTTG